TTTTCCCTAAATTTAATTAAACTTTCTAAATTTGTTTGAAAAGAAATTGACACTCAAGGAGATGATCATGGCTTTTCCTTGTTGCAAAAATTGTTTTTATTATTCCTAAACAAAATTACTTTCATTAGTTTCGGTCACGATCTGTGACCCTATTTCATGAGCAAGAAAAATACAAAAATTCAGCAAAATTGAAAAAAAAAATTAACAAAAAATTGAAATTTTAATACTAACAAAGTCGATCTTGTAAGTTTCAACTTGCTAGTTTTAATATTTTAATCTTTTTTTTTCAGTTTTTCTGATTTTTTTTGTATTTTACTTGCTCATGACATATATGATCGCAGACCGTGACCGAAAGTGGTAGAGCCATTTGTTTTTGTTTTTAATATAAACAATTTTCACAACGAGGAAAAGCCTGATCTCTTCTTCATTTCCATGAATTTTCAAATCATTTTGGGCTGCTTTATTCAAAATTTAACATCAGTTTTCAAATTTTATTTCATTTTTATGCAAGAGATAAATTCCTCCCTGTGCGATTAATAAAGTGAGCTCGACTAATTAGCTCTCATGCCAGTTTAACTAACCCGTTCCGGATCGGTTAAGAGCCCTAACGTGAATCGTTCCAATGAAACCGGTTTAGAGGGTAATTAGATGTCAACGGAATCGGCGGCGCTATCCCCTTTACAGACTTTCGATTCGCAGCGTTTACTTCTAATTAAAACTTCTTGTTTCTCCAGCAGTCATATTTAAACGGAAGCTCTTTAGTCAGTCGTTACCTCCTTAAGTGCCTTAATACGACGACACGAGTCGGAACTTCTGCTCTAACTCGGTCCGTAATACGCTTGTTATTATTATAATAATGCTGGCTATGGGTCTACGCGCCCGCCTGTTGTTCCATTCCGAAGCAGTAAAAGAGCAATGAAATTTTTACTCGAAAGCCCCAAGTCGTAAAATTCGAGTCTTGCAGTGTGTTTTCTTTTGCAAGCGCGTCGACAGCGAATTCTCGAATGAATGGCAAACACACTTATGAGCAGCCGGCTGGCCTTTAATGCTGCTGATTTTTACCATAATCGATTTTATTCCCTCCAGCTTGCCGCATTATTTTGCCTCGAAAGTTTACATAAAAGAGAGAGAGAGAGAGTCGTGGTATGGAAATGTGTACAAAAAATTCTGCCCGACTTGACATAACACTCGAAGGAACTCAAACACGCTTGCACAGGCGAGGGTTGAAGTTTTGCGGATTAGAATATTATTTTTCTTTCTTTTTTTTTATAACAAAGTTTACTTTTTTCTTTCATGTGAGGAGCGAGTCGTTGAGGCGAGACCAAATTAAAATTTTTCCGCTCTTTTTCTTGAATTGCCGTTTCTTATTCGGACGTGCCGGAGGAGAAAAATCTTGATTTCCCGACTCTCGGCGGCGCAGCAACAAACTAATGGCGGGCGGCTGTGCAGGTAGACAACCAGTGGAGCATGCATGACCAACAAATTGCCTAACCGGGACGCTCGGCAATTTGCAACTTGAGCGTGGCAATCTGGGCGGTGCACAACTTGGAACAGTCATTTGTTCAAAAAAAAAAAACTAAAACAACAAAGGCACTGCAGATGTATTAATCTTCGTGCCCGAAAGCGGCCAACTTTCGCACACGGGGATGAAATCAGAATCCATTAGGTTGATTTTGCTGTGTACATCAAATTATAAGCCGGCGGGTCGAAAATTTGAAGATTAATGACTGCAAAACGGCGTCGCCAATTTTTATACGCCGCACTGTCACCCCCTCCGTAATTGATGGCTGAAAAATTAATTGATGTCAAAACAAAGAGCGTGTAAAAGCCAAAGCAAACCGCACACTCGTGTGTGTGTTCAAAATTAAAATTTCCCGACGCGTGTAAAAAGCACTCGGCCGCCTCCGGCTAATTAATCCGGAGACCGTGGCAGTGTTGCATGCTCTCAATTCCCAAAGGATCGTGTGGCCTTTCAAATAATTAAAATCTCACCGCTTGAAATAAAACTAACTGGAAATAATTACTTGGATCTCTCAGGGCCGTAAATTAATATGCAGCCGGCGCGTGGCAGCTAATTTGTTTGTGTCATCAAACCGAGTGAATAATGGGTTTTATCGCTTTGAATTGTGCGTCGAAATGCGACATTCTCGCTGCGAGGAGGAAACCAAAGGAAATGTTCTGAGGATTCTCTAGAGGGGGTGCGAGAAATGTCGTTCCTTCTCGCCGAAGCGCATTACACGCTGAATGGGAAAATGCTGTCACAAACTTTCTTTCTTTTTGTGCACATCGTATTTTTTTTTCAGGTGTGCGAACTCACGTCACGTCCGACCGGGTCTTTCAGGCCGCATCTCTCTCCTCTCGGCTCGTTACTTTTCCGTTTTTACTCGGCACGCACACGACCGCTGTAAACAATAAGGCCGAATTTGCCGCGTAATTACATTAGAGAGCCTCAGGTTGCCTGGATTTGCCGCGCTTGATTGTGTGCCCAGTGGACAGTTGAAACGAGCGGTTTGTTGACACAACCACCACGAGGGCTTCAACTTTGACTCGAAAATTTTAGTTTGCTAAATTTGTTTAGAGAGAGTTTTTTTATGTGAAATAAAATAATAAGAATTAAGGAATTTATTAATTTATTGACAAAGTTTGATCAAGTCTTTCCAATAACTGATAAAATGGCTCCTATTGTTGTAGAGACATTGTTTGACTATGTCAATAAGGAGGCCTTTATCATTATTTATCTCAATTTAAATTTGATGATTAGGAATTTGATTATTTAAAAAAAAAAGTGAGTTGATGTTAATAGACACATTTATGGTCAGCTTTGTGCTTCAATTAATCAACAATTAATTTCAGTAAAATTTTAGAAAAAAATTGTTTTACAGAAAATTTAATTTCCTATTTATCGCATTAATTCTAATTTTGCTTCAATTGCAAACGAGATATGGAAACAGGCAATCAATTTCAATTTAATGAATAATAATCATAAATTATGTCTGTAGGTTGAGATATTTATTTATAATTAGATTTGTTATGAAAACTTCCATGCCTACAAAATATTATTGAATGTATAGTGTATTTTGGCAGCTTGACTCCTTTAAAGTAAATTAAATAATTTAAAAATATAAATTAAAACTAAAATAATTATAAAATAAAATTTTTATAAATTAAAAATGTATAAAAACCAGAGAAAAATTAAATTGTTATTTTTAATTTATTATGATGTAAATAGCATTTATATAACATTTATTTTGGTGTACACAAGCAACCATTTTTGCGCGAAACAGCGGTAAACGTGTGTGTGTGTGTCATGTTTCCAGGCAGGCAGCAAGTCAAATTACGGTCTCGTTGCTAAATTTAGCTCGCCGTCAGTTAAAATGCCTCGCATCCCATTGTCCGCGCAATTGTGCGAAACAACCGTCCCGCACGCTGAGCTTTTGTTTTGCGGCGGTGCGGAGAGCAGCAGATTTCGCCACAAAGGGAAAGATGAAAAAAAAAATTAGTCCGCCTTTCACTCGAGCGAGCGTGACTCCGCGAGGCACATTGCATGATTGAGTTGCGCGGGTGAATAAGTAGAGTTAATTACCACATCAACTCGCCTTAATTACGCACTCGCGTAGTTAATGCATATTCATGTCATCCTTCTTTTCTTCCTCTTCCTCGGCGGAGAAGCTCTTTAAATATGCAAAAAGTGGCAGAGACGGTCTCGGTAGTCGTTTCTTTTCTCTCGTGCTCGAGCGGCCTCGCCAAAAGAAGAAGAAAAAAAATCCGTCCTCCTTTTTCTCTATTTCCCAAATGTTGCAGGTCTGCAGGGGGACAGCGGTTTAATTAAATTTTACTTTTCCTGTCTGCCGAGTCGAGAGAACTCGGCAGGTGCAGCGACGATTTACTCGGCTTTCCAATCACATCTTCCGTAGTTTTGATTGCCGTGCATTCATTCTCGGCCACCTTCCTTCGGGTGTCCTTTTCCCTCTCACTTATTTTTACCCCGGAAAAAGGACTCCTGATGGAAAATTGCGCACGTTCTTTTCTTTCTTTCTCATCTTTTCCTCCTCCGAGAAAGAAGTATTAAAGACGCGGGAAATGGAGAGTGAACAAAATCATCTCGCTTTCCCTTCTCATATTTCCCAATTTCAAAACGGGTATTGTTTTTCAGTTTGGGCCTCATTTTTCCTGAAACAAAAGGGGCGCGCTTGTCAGCATCGTCGCCGCCACGTGTGTCGTTTGCTGAATAATGACGTCGACAGCCGCTGTCCGGAAAATTAACCGCAAGCAAATTGATGCTCCTTTTTTTCCCGATGCTCGAAAACGAGAATCCAATATCACCGATGAAATGAAATTCGATTCCGTTTATCGACTGTTGCTTCTCTCCGGTTGACGGTTTTTAATCAAATACCCGATGGCAAATAATGTGGTCCTAATATACATCACAAAGTTGGATTATACGGCAGTGATTTGAATTTTATTGCACACAAGTAGAATTTATTGAAATGGAGCTGGCAGCGATTTTATACTTTGTGCATTGCGCCAATTCTGGGGACTAAATTTCTTATTCATTCTTTATCTCTGGTGCTTTTTGCTGCTCCGTCTGTTTCACACAATTTGCATTTATATTTGTATTGACACTAATTTCAAACAGATCGTGCAATTTCGATCCGTTATTAAAAGTCAGCGCGACAGGAATTTCGCATTTAAGCCGTGACGGATTTCGTCCGCCCGCAAATTAAATTCGGCTCGGCCCACCAGACACGCAGAATTAGCCGTTTTAAAACCGTGTCACCGAAACCGACGCTTGTTATTTACTGGTTCGCTTTAATTTAATTAATCCGCAAAGCAAACGCGCCGCGGGCGTCAATTTTGTCGAACCCGTTTTGAATAAACACGCCCGAATTGAATTAAACTCTCTCGTCGATAAATGCGTCACTTTTCCATCAAATGTCGTTCCGCTCGATTTTCCCTGATATGGAGAGCGAGTTATTTATAAAATTTTATTTCTGTTCCAGTTGCTCCGCAGAGGCCCAGAATCGAGTATAATGCAACGCAAATGGCGCCCGGACAGAACGTGAGTGCCAAATCTGGTGAGAGAGCTTCCTTACGCTGCATTAGCCGCTACGGCAATCCTCCAGCCAAGCTCAAGTGGAAACTCGGTGAGTGCAAAAATACGTATATGGGATGAACCGGATGTACATGTTCGCGAAACTTTTATATCTCTTGATATCATATTTCTATTTTGCTCAAAAGCCTTCTCCACACAGGCTGTTAAAAACGACTTTTCCGAGGATTAGAATGGTTATTTTATATGCCAATCTTTAAACAGAAATCATTTTTTATTCTATTTTTTATTTAAATTATAAATATTTACAAAATAAAAAACCCTATTTGTTATTTTTAAGCTTCATTTTTATAATTTAAGTGTTATTTGAATTTTTTTAAATATTTAATTTATTTAATTTATATTAAATTATATAATTTTCCTTTTTATTTTTCAAATATAAGTGACTTTTTTGGTGGAATTTTTTTAATATGAATAAGAATTGTTTTGAAATTAAATATAAATACAAAAATTGCCAGTTTAAATTTAAATATTCGTGAAAATTGAAATTGTAATGTTACAGTGGCATTGCTTATTATGTGGGAAATTATTAGCAGAAAACATTATGAATATTTGAAATTTAAAGCTTATTTTACTCTTAAATTATGTGACAGTAAATTTGAACTGTTTCAAATGTATATTTTAACTCATCTCACGCCAAGGTCTAATTTACTGCATCAATATCGTTGATATATTTGATAATTCATGAATCCATCAATGAAATTTCAAATTTTACTTATCTAATTATTTAAAAAACTATGTTGATTCAATTCATTTAATTAATTGAAACAAAATAATGGTTAAAAATTTGAGAAAAATGCACATTTAATGCAATTTGTAGATTTTCTATTGTTTCTATGGAAAAATTTCCAAAATATCTTAAATTTTATCATTTTTTTTTTTTACAATATTTTAGGAGACGAGCCTTTGTCAGACACGGGCAACCAAACGTCCGTCCGCGAGCAGGACAACCCGAAGACGTGGTCGACAAGTTCCGTCCTCGACCTGGCCGTCGTCAAGAGGCACCACGGTCGCAACTTGCGCTGCGTGGCCGTGCACGACTTGTACCCGGAGAAGTCGTTAGACGTGGACGTCAAACTGGACGTCAGATGTGAGTACCTTTCACATTCATTTTCTGCTTTCGCCGCCGCTCTTCGACTTGAGTGCTGGAAATGTTTATTGAGAGCGAAAGCGGCGGTCCGAGCGTGATATATTGGCGCGAGATAAAGTCGGCGGATGAAAAGGAAGGAAATATAAAAAAAGGAAGACGCTTTTGAGAAAAGTGCAAAAAATCCTGAATCCACGTGCGGAGGTACTACAAAGGCAGATAAGACAAATAATATTTTAGCGGGACTAAAAGGAGCCGAGCTTTATGTTTGCGAAAGAGTAGTTTTTTTTTTTTGCCACGGGCTAGGCAGAATAACACGGCCATAAAAGAAAACGCTTCTTTAAATATTACTCAAGTCTCTGGGCGAGGGAAAAGGGCAGAGGCGCGTCATTCCGGGGCAAACGCGCGCTGATTATGATAATTATGCCGAGGAAAGAATGGAGCACGGGAAATAAAAACTTCGCCCGCGTTTTTAAGACTCTCGAAATTAAGACAAAAGAGGAGAACTTTGTCAGAAGAATCTCTTGCGGCTTCCGAAATTAAGAATTGCGGAATTTCTTTCCTAATTCCTTGACTTTTGAAATATTCAAGACAATATTTTCACGCCTCTCTTCTCCATCTGTCTGCGCACCAGACGCATTAATTGCCATTGTCCGGGATTAATGGAGCGAAGGGCATTGTTTCCGCTGCCTACGTGACCTTTAATAAAATCACCTCCGAGCGGAATTTCACGAGATTCCCTCTAATTAGCGCACCCGAGCTCTCTAATCAATGCCCCAGGGACGCTGCAAAGTGCTGCTGCAGCTAAATGTTTGGACAAATCTCGCAAATTTCCGGATCCTTTTCGGCGTATTTATTCTGCGATTCAAGTTTTGCGCGCTGATAAGAAGACGCAGCTCGGCGTCACCGACTCGGAATGTTTGCTTTCGAGTGCTTCAAACGAAAATTTCGCTCCAACTTTTTGACGGTGAAGTTTCACGGTTGAACTAAATTTCGCTCCCCTCTCAAGAAGCCACTCGTCCGGGGGTTAATTTTTTTCGTAAAAGCTGAAAAGAGCCAAATCCCAGGTAACTCTGTTTCTATTTTGAGGAATCTTAAGCAGAAAACGTCAGAATTTTTGTTAAAAGAACATTAAAATTTAAATTACAAGTTTACTAAATAATTAATATAATATAAGCATAAATATTTTTTGTTTTCTTCTATATTTTATAATTTTAAATTTTAAATTAAATTTAAAATATAATTAAATTTATAATTTAGTTTTTTTTTACTATGCATGATTTTGTTATATTATTTGTACTTTTTTTTTAAAGCAATATACTAATTACAGTATTAAATATTTTATTTCCCAAAATTCTTATATATTCAAATAACCTCTGCATAAATCACATAGTTATATATAAAGGCAAACACTTATTACTCCTGGTCCATGCGTTGATCGTTGGTTTTTATTTTTCTTTTAATAACGTAAAACCTGAATGATGTTCATTGAATAGAAAATATAATTCACCATTTTACGGATTATATTCTTTTCATTATATATTAACCGAGCTAACAAGTTCAGTATATTTTGCAGGGGGGAAAAGAAATCAAATATTAACTAATGAATAATATTTTCAAATAATTAAATATTTAGGATTAAATTAAACACTCATTGTCAGAGGACAAATTTGAGCTAGCGTTAAACTATGTTCTGCGTAGAATAATATTTTAAAAAATAAAATTATTTTATGACTCAATTTTATTCCAATTGAATTAACGAATTGGTTTTTCTCTATGATTTACTTTATCTAGATAAAATACCTAGATTTTCTTTCATTTTGAAAATATTCAAAACCAGATTACAATTTTATTTTGGCTTTGAATCACCAAAGGTCAGCACATTTTGCACCCCCAAATTAATGGCGCCGTCCAATCCCGGGCGTGAATCAGCAGAACGGGAGTGGACGAGTAATTGCCCGAGGAAGAGGGGTCACGAGAGCACACGCATGCTGATTGTGTGCACCATCAGCTGAGGGTGCGTTTTCGCAGTCGGATGCACCCCTGATGTAATTTGGGGCAGCCTTATTTATGCGTTGTATTCCCACGTGTTGAGAGGGAGATAATTATTTGAGCGCGCCCGCATCCCGCGTCCAGATATGGACCCAGAAATGCTCAACACTCGGCCGACCGGTGCGATAAAGTAACCCACTTTCGAGCAGCCGAGTCTTGAATACTGAGCAGCCGGGCGAGGGCTGAGCAGCTGCCGCCGCCGCCACAAACCTCGCTCGGTTTGCGCTAGCCCGGCTAGGGTGCGCGTTTTTAAAGGGGTGGCCAACAACGGGACAGGAAAAGCTAGGAACACAAGGTGCGCCTTGTTTCGCCGCATTTGCGAAAGTGACGCAAAACTTTCGCTGTAAGACACGCCGCCGCCTTGTAATGACTGCAAACGTAACACTTCAATCTCGCTTTCTAAGAAGTGGTTGCCGGAGCTTTCTTGAAACAGGATTTTCACTTTTTCACCGGGTTTGCTGAAAATTGGTTAAAAGTTTGAACAACAAAAATTTATGTAATTATCAAAGAAAAATAGCTTTTTTAAATTAAATTGGGTGAATTTATTGGTTCCCTTTTTAATTAATTTTTAATGAACTCACCGAAATTGATTTAATTTTAGTTTTTACAGTCTACTATTTTCACATGGAAAAAATTGCTCAATTCATAAAAAAAGCAGAAGCAAAAATAAAAATACAAAAGTAGTTTCATAAACAGAGCTGGGAAAAACGCGTTATTATTATTATTATTGCAGCTTTATGTGTTCGTATTTCAATTATTTTTTAAACTTGTATTATTTTGCTGTTTTTATTGAGTTTAATTTCAGATCATTTTCCTTCTAACAAATTTATTTTCCAATGGGAAGTATGCAACCTGCGAAGCACAAATATTTCTTTAAGATCCTGATTTCTTATCTTGAGGTGCACGATTTTAATAAATTTATAAGATGGATTCTGTGTTAAAAAATAGCCCCGATCATGTTTTCCCAAAATTGCACAATTTTAAACAAGCAAAGTAAATTGAGGAAATGAAGGGCCTTTGCAAAAATTATTTTTAATCAAAAACAAGTGGCTTTACCAGTTTCGGTCTCGATCTGCGACCCTATTTCATGAACAAGAATCATACAAAAAAACAGCAAAATTGAAAAAGTACAACATTTTAATTTATAAAAATTTAAATCTTAAAATTAACAAATTCAATTTCAATTTTTTCTGATTTTTGTGTATTTTTCTTTTAATGGAGTCGCAGTTCCTGACAGAAACTGGTAGAGCCATTTTTTCTGAATAAAAGCAATTTCCGCAACGAGGAAAGACCCAACCTCTTTATTCCCATGATCATCTCCGCGAGTTTCAATATCTTCAAATAAAAAGTAAATTTTGTTATTGTTCACTATTGTTAGAATTTTTACTTTACTTAAAAATCTCAAGTAATTAAATTCTCTTTCTCAATAGATTCGCCGGTAAGTCCTGTGAATAAAACCGAAGTCTTACAATTACAAAAACAGTTAACACCGCGTAACTGACAGAGAGGAGAATAGAAGTGAGGCCCCGATTCCTTGCGCTCGGGATATTTATTGGCAACATATTTCCTGTTGTTGCGTCCTCTTGCCGCGCGGTCGGTCGTCCTGTGCCCTTGCATACAAAGTCCGACATCCCGGTGGTTGTTTACTTCATTTCAGTACCATTTCCGTTGTACTTGAAACATCTCACAATGTCATTATTACCGCGAATTATTAATTTATTTAATCGCGTCTTTAAATAAATTAATAAGGTCATTATGTAACTGTGTCATTTTACCTGCGATGTTAACACTATTTTTGCTTTTTTAACTCATTTAAACGTTACGACATGCAGCTCATCCTCAAATTGAGGAGATGAATTTTGTTTTAAATACTATATTTTTCTGCATCGATTTTTTTTAATGTCTGTTATTTGAATTATCCATGACTCTGTGCAAATAAACAATGAAAAACAATCGAAGTTAGTAAATAAAAGGAATCAATTGTTCTCTGCAATAAAGGATGAAAGGCTCAAAATTATACATTCCAAAATAATAAACAGCGCTCGAACACATTCGACGCGAACGAGGCACTTTTGTTTCACGAGCGCGAAATCAGTTTGAACTCATTTGGGTGCATTTAAATTTTGCGAGTGGCTGCGCACAATGAGCCGCAAGCACGAACCGACCGTGTGCAGTTTGTTCCAACAAGTATGCACCAGAGTGTGTTTCCGATCCATTTCCGAATGATGATTTATAAATTATTCATGCGCCCACTCACTCGTCCGCCGCGTTGTCGATACATAAAAAGTGATGTTTTTCGCTCTTGCAAACGTCAATTATTGAAACACAAACTCTTTTGTATATAATTGTGAATAATTCAGCCGCGCGGTACTTCGGCGACAAAACGGCGGAATTTTTTTGTTGTGTTTGCGTCAAACCACACGCTCGCTGCGCTCGACAAAAATAAAAAAAACGGCCGTGGTGTTCATAAATTTTACACAGCGTTAACATACATGTTTGTTTCGCACGTTTCGCCGCTCAATACCGACGTTATTAATTAATTCAACCGCGCCACCTCGCGGCGATGACACTTTCCTGTTGCAAAAATAAATTTAACAAATTGCATCGATGCATGGAATTTATTTGGCTGATTGTTTTTTGGCTATAGGCGATTTTCATGCAGTTGATTTACTTAACAAGGGACGTGTTAGTTAAAATAATCATAAATTTTTTATAGAACATAAATTATTATTATTTTTGTAGTAGAATTTCACAATCGAGGGTTGATACATGATGATTTTAATTTCAATTAATTGAGGAAATTGGCTTTTCCTCAATGGGTTTTGAGAGTTTTTTTTGTTTTCAAAGAAAAAACAATATCCTGCTCTTCATGTTTCGGCTGCAGCCATTATTCACGAGCTCTGTGAAATCAATTTGACAAAAATGAGTACAAAATCAAATTTTTAACGACA